ATCCCAACAAGGTTCATTCATTACACTTTTTTTTTTTCATTTTAAAGCCAGTGATACTATAGTAAATATAACTCATACACAGAACAGAATCCCTGTTACTAAATGCTAAAGCTTTTTTCTTTTTCTGAAAAGGATCACAATCTTTATAACTGAGATGAGGACAAGTAGTTTTAAGGTTTAAGTAATTGTTGATAAAGTAGCTTTCCAATTTTCACAGCCCTGCCAGGAAAAGCAAGAACGCATTGTTTGTTAATGATCACAACCAGGGGTCCATGCTTTACTCTTTTGTCAGAAGTACAGCAGATCCTCCCTGCAGCTTCACCATTAACATGCCTGTTTCCTGTCAGCCTACTCAGAGATAATGTCATTTATCTCAAGGGGGCACAAGACCAGTCATTAGCTTCAATAACAGACTTCAAACAAAGACCGGATGATGTTTTATCCAAGGTGCGTGATCAACAATCAAGAATCTTACTGCTTAAGAATTAAGAAATTTAGCGCTTCATTTAGAAAAAACTGTTTTCACCTAATATATCAATGATTTTACTTAACATTTTTAAAGTGTTCATTTCTTGGAAATGTAAGTGGACAGCTTTTATCACATACAATTTGATAAATGGTATTAACTCACTAAATTTATCCTTTGGGAGATTTCCCTCTCTCTTCCAAGTTCCTTTTTTTTCTTTTTTGCCTCTGGGAAAAAAATTGATGGAATAATTCAACCACTTGCTAAGTAATGAGTCTTTTGAAAAACTGACCCTCATTGTGGTTGCCTGCTGGAGTCGATTATGTATTCTCTAAATTATTCAGTGTCAAACTAACCTTTCATTAAAAATATGGCTGGCTATAATATATATCATCCCTTGATTTTTTTTTATTTTAGAAATTTAAGATTAATCTACAAAGTTACAGTTAAACATTTGAAATTTAAAAACAAAAGTCAGCCAATCAGTTTATTCATCTCTGTTTTACTCTGGAAATTAGAAGTAACATAGCATACATTCCACTTTATTTGGAATGTTGTTACTGAACACCTCTGTGGTTATATGATATTTATGCTTGGCAGTTTTAACATTCTTTTCAATTACTGAACCATGAAATGCTGCTTTACAAAAATAGTACTTGTATAGCTATAATAAAAAAACTATAATTTAAGGAAAACTCCTTAAAATAAAGAGAATAAACTTAATCTCAGTATAGCTTTACATTTTTTTCTTTTTTCAACTGGGTATTTATGAAGTTATTTATAATAAAATTTTATGCTATCTCATGTCAAACCAATTTGTTTTTGCCATTTGTTCACAATGAGAAAATCTCTTTAAACGTTTTGCTGTATAAATGCTTCTCACCATTCTCTACTGTTTCAGTGTTACTTTAACCTTACTGAGGAATTCAATACAGAATGGACCTTGTCTGAGGGGGTCAGTAGGTTCACAAAGAAAGCTTTTCTCAGCCTAAACACAGGATCTCTTCACCTCCACTCTCCCCCCCCCCAAATGTGGTCACACTACTAGACAACCCTATAGAACATTAAGAACTCCAAACTGAGCTCATTGTTAAACACCAAATAGTTATCAGTGTTTTCAACAGCTAAATCTCTTATGTAGCTTTCAAAACTGTTTGCTGTCAAATCACAATGGACTTTGTTCTTAGCTATAACCCGTGACCTTTCTGCCCCCTCTCTCACTCAACAATGAATAAATGAGTCCCAAATCCTAGCATTCATGGGCATATTTAAAAACAACATATACTTCCATAACCCCATGAAGTCAAAACATTTTCAAAATGTCCACAATCCTACAACATTAAAGGAAACATGAAAAAGCACAGGATGTGTACAACCAGTTACACGTTTCATACTACAATAAATGTACATGAATACAGAGAAGCAACCTCATTCCAACAGAGTATTGCTTTGCAGGCTAATAAAACAGTGAACAGCCCATCCTCTACTATTTCTAAAGAACAGCCGATTAATACACATCCCAATTAAATGCATTAAGTTATATTATATACAATATAACATTATATATGAAGTTATATGTGAAGTTATATAAAATTCTCATGTAAACTGATGAACACGCAGAAGAACAGGAGCCAAAATATCAAAAACCACCAGGCAACAAAATCTTAGGTTGATTAAATTTTTCTGTAACTTGATAGTTAAAATTTGGCAATGTTGAAAAGGAGCAAGTTTTAACATTCCAGCCCCTCCTGTCACATCCTGGCAACCAAACCTTTTCCTTTGTTTTACTCACTGAAACATGTAATTGGTATGCTAAATACCAAAAGGGTTGAACAAGTACATAACCTCTGACATTTTGCAAACTTAAAAGAAATAGTTAGTGGATGCCAAAGGATTCCACTGAACACATTTTTGCATGGCTTCAACAGACAAACAGAAGAAACTTAAAACTGGCAATAAATAAAAAAATAGGAATCAGGAAGCAGCTTTTATGCTTTAACTGTCTTTTTGTTGTTGTTGTTAAAAAAAAGCTCCATTCCAAGAAAGAAACCTCAGAGTTTAAATGTTCAGAGATTGCTTAATTTTAAAAAAGAAATAAGTTTAAAGATATTCAGATTTAAGTGTATAAAGTAATTCAGTCACCCACTGTTACCAGAGCCATGCTGAAGCCAAGAAAGGTTTTATTTTGGGCTCTTCACCAATTTATCTCTCAATAAATGCCAATTTAATTTTCAGGGTTTGTTTTTTTCCAATAAGGCTGTCCTTGGATGTTTGTTTGTTTTTAAATCCTGCTTGAAAACAGCCATATTCTTAGTTTTACATTCACATGACTTGATTAAAAGGAATTTCCCTCAATAGTAAAAAAAAAAAAAAAAAACCCTCAGGATGTTTAAGACAGCAAGCCAACATCCTCCATTCAGAGACAATGGGCAGCTCTGCAGGGCTCTAACAAGTGAAGCCATTAAAATCAATATAAGGCAGCAGCAGTGGGTGTTACTGGTAATTCAAGCTCCACCAATTCTATACAGACAAGAAATGAAATGAGAAGTGTTCTTTTGGCAAAAAGCTACTCCAGACTGGTTTGTTCCTAGTTTACACATTACCTCATTTACATTACACTGGCTGAAATGTACTTGCTTGTGTATGAATTCATTCCTCATATAATTTCCTGTGCAACTGGTATGAAAAGGAACACAAAAACTGGAGAAAACCACACTACTCTCTAATCTCTTGTTGCCATGACAGCAGCCTTTCAGATACTGAAATGTTCAGATTGCCAGCTAAACAAAATTGTTGAATGTGAACATTTGGCTGAAAGATTAAAAGGCTAAGGGGGTTACAAAAGGGCAGCACCTCCCACATTCCAGGCATCCAATGAATCCAATCAAATGTCTCTGACTCTTTAACCACAACTATTGTGAAGACTGGATTAGGGCAATTTATCTAGATAGTTAAAGCAGATTAGAGAACTACAATTTGAAGACTATTGGCAACAAAAGCAAATGCCTACTGTACTAAGTTAATAAAAAAAACAAGCATGGGATTTTAGGATAGTTTTCAGACCAAGGAGAAGCACTGCACTAACCCAGAAGACAAACCAAATTTAGGATGTAAACTGAGCTAGTTTTTTTCAACTGGCTGAGGGTAGCAGCAGGGAACAGGGGGAGGAGGAAGAGAGAGTGAAACACAGACCATTCAAAGCCCTAGTTTTCAGGCATTATAACGAGGATTAAACTTTATATATTAAATAAGGTTTATGTGCTCTAAATTAATTACCTCGGTGATAATCTCTCATCTTTTAAACCACACAATTTTTTGCAGCAAACAATTTACTGATGAGGAGTTGCAGGAGCCTAATATTTACTAAAGTATATTATGCAAATTCACCAAACATCTTTTAAATAAAACATCTTTACAGTTCTTTAAAGTGTAGTGTACTAAATAAACCAGCTAAAAACTTTCTCACTTTTGGATATTAGGCTGGGAATTGTAAAGAGGAATAATGTCAAGATGATCGCATACAATCATGTTGCAAGCGATTATTCTGCATGGGAATAAGGGGGGGTTGTTTTTTGTTTAAACAACCTGTGGAATTAATTTGAGTCTTAATTATAACCTAACAATAGCTCCCTGGATGACAAAGAAACCTTCTGTCTTCTGGATACAGAACAATTGGTGCTTACTCCAAACCCTGCCCCAGTGAGCAGCCAAGACAAATCAGTAGCTTCCACTTCCCCTCACAATGCAAGGCCATTTATCCTTAACAGAGCACATTCTTCAGACTTTAGTGAAGAGGAAGAAAAACACACACATTTTTCAGCTATTCAACTAATAGGCAGTGCACATCCAGGAACTCTCTGAGAATGTAGATAAGAAGAAAAGAGACTTCTGGACAGAGGACAAAGTGTTCATCTATATTTGGAGATAAAGGTTGTACACATAGGTTTCAGGGCAATGTGGGTTCCCCTCCCCCACTGGACTTGCACCAACAGCTTCTAAGCACACGGCGTGCCTGCTGACAAAGCACGCCTTATGGCAGTTTCTGAATTATGTAGAGCGTCTTGGCTTTTGTACAAGAGGCAGTAACTCTCTAACAACCCCCTCCCCCCCACACACACCAAGATTATCTCTCTAATTCAAGGAGCTAAAAGAGTTAAGAACCTGTTTAATCGCTCTTCCTTGTAATCAAAGGATGGTGCAAGTTTATTCAGACACCTGGAGAGACAGAACACCTCCTCGCCCAATAGAAATCACCAGGATTTCAATGTAGGATGCACACAAAAGGCTGCATTCCAAACAGCAATGACAACAACCTCCCAACTTGTAAGATAAAACACAATGAAGGCAAAACCCATCAAAGTGACAATTTAGATATCTTTTCCTAAAAACCAAACACTCCAGTCAGATAACATATAACCCCAGGCCATAGGTAGGCGGGTTGAGAAAATTAATCACAAAGAAATACTGGACAATATACAAACAGAAGCAGAGTTGTTCAAAGTTTATCAAACAATGAATGCTGAATTACTCCTACCTTTTCTGTTTTCAGCTTTTTTATTCTCCTGTGGCTTTCCTCCTCTTCTTCTTCTTTCTTTATCAAAATAGAGTTCCCCATTAACCCTGAATCTGGAGCACTTTTGTTCGTATCCCCAGCTGTGGAGGAGGTACAATTGAAAGGGATGTTGCTCCCAGCACAACCTCCCTTGGCCCCAAAACTATACAAGTGCCCAGGAGCAGTTTGGCTAGAGTTATTTGAGGGTCCTTGCTGTAGATCAAGTTGTCTGTCTTTCCTGGATTTCCCTCCATCTTTATCCCGCTTGGAGCCTCTGCTGGCTTGTGTTTTACCTGTTTTCTCCTCTTTATTTTTCCCACAAGAGGCAAGAGTGTTGTTATTGATGCTGGTGGTACTATTATTGCTATTTGGGCTGCTGCTCATACTTTGACCCAGTGCTGAATTCATGCCACCTGCCTCGCTTGGGCGCCCTTGGACTTCCTGCCTCTTGCCAGCACTGCTGATTTCAGGAATTCCATACAAGGCAGCAGAAGGCAGAGATTTACTAGCATCCTTCGAAGTTTTACTCCTTTTCATTTTTGATTTGCTAGTTTCTTTGTGTGAGGAATTCCCCTGAGAAGCAGGGGGCTGAACAGAAGAAAATTTTAGGCCATCAGCTAAGGCTGAGGTAGGATTAACTCCACTAGAAGCAAGACTCCCACAATCCTTGGAATTGGTGGAATTATTCATCTCAAACTTTTGTCTGTCTTTCTCCAAATCTGCATCCAAATCAATTATTAAATTCCCAACCCCAATTTCCCAGTCATCACCACTGTCGTAGGTATCAACTGTGTTTGGATCCACACCTTTGCCAGCAGTGGAAGTGTTCAATGACATCCTGAAGATGAGAACTCTTGAGTAAAAATCAGACGAACTTTCCTTTGTAGATGAGGGGACATTCGTTTATCTCCGTGGGGCTTTTTAAAGTGTAACTCTTCTTGCTTTCCTCCCCCAGGTATATCTGGGTATATACCCTGAAGTCCAGGTCCACCTTTTCCTGTGAGGAAGGGGAAAAGTCGAATATTTCTTGGCTGGGTCTTATCAGAATACAGTCAAACTGATATTTGAGGCACATAAGAAAAGACACTCCATATATTAATTTTTGAGAGGTCTGTAAAACCAAAGCCTTTGATAATAAGCCCCTTTCTACAGTTGCATCCCATCATCCACGATCATTTCTTAAAATGCCATGTGCCCAAAAAACGAACCAACAAAAAACCCCAAGCCCAAAATAATCAAACTCTTAAATTACAGCATTTAAATCCACAAAATTCAAAAATATCAAATGCGATTCTTTATCATTTAAGTACAAAGAGGGAACTTCTTCTAAAACCCATTTTTACCTACCAAAAAAAAAAAATCACCACCCCCTTCAAGTTCTGTATCTGTTCCCTAGGCTGAATTAGCTTGTTTCTCTAAGAGTCACTGAGAACAACCAAACAACAATAAAAGTACATTCATTTTAATTTTTTTTTTAATCTGAGGGAAGAGAATTCACAATTTCTATTTAAAATGCATTCAAGATAACACATCTCAAAGTGGTTCTAATGTCCACTTAGGTCACCTATTGCTCAGACTGTTAAATATAGTATTACTGACTGTACAGGAAACTGATTAAGACATACACTTTAAACGCTATACACCAAGGTGGCCTCTAACCGCAAAGGAGTGTGTGCTTGACACAGCTTAGCTAGAATTATTTTAAAAGGAATCTTTTTTTCTCTTAATGTCTGTGTCCAAATATTTACATATATATTATGTACATTGCTTACCTTTAATCCTTTATCATTTTTTAAATTTAAGCCAGAGAATCAAAATTCTGTTCTTGCTGGTCTCAGCAAGAACTCAATATCCCACTTCATTTTACTTAAAGAGTAAGTAATCAAGAAGTAAAAACCAACTAACATTTCGGGCAGAGTAATCGTCAAGAAACATATTTCCTTCCTTTTTGGCACACGAAAGAGATTCTTTCCTCCCACCTTTTTTTTTTTTTTGAAAAAAAAATATGGTTTTCCTTCTTAAGTATTTTGTTCCTCACAACTTCACAGGCTGGAAGATAGTATTTCACATTCAAAACACCAGAAGCCACAAGCACCCCAAAAAAAAAAATAAATTTTTTTTTCTTCTTTCCTTGAACAAGCACCAAGATGTGATTGTAATAAAGAAATAAAAATTGCAAAATGTTTTCCGCAACTTCACATCCAGTCTTCAGTTTCAGCTTCTGTAGCCATCCTGATCAGTAAGTAATGATTCCATGAAACAAACCTACAGGCGTCCGGTTGTTACAAGGCAGAATGTGCTAACATCGAGGAAAATTAGTGAAGGGGGGGGAGAAAGGACTGAAAATCTGGGCTGGATTCCGCCTGTTAGTTGGGAAGTGGGGTTTTTTTTCCCCCTCCCGAGCTCATAGATCTGACTTCTTGAACTAACTTGAGGGGGGGGGGAATGGAAGGGAGAAGAGGGAGGGAATAAAATCAGGGTCTGATGAACCAGTTATCAAAACATGATGGAGTGTTGAAAAAAGAGAGTATGAAAATGAAGCAAATATTCCTAAGCAGAGGAAATGATTTAAAGTTTTGGGGGGAATAGGTTTCTCAATTAAATACAAGTTCCTGGAGGGGAGAGGTAGTTTTAAAACAAGCAGCTCATAGAATGAGCCATTCGGTAATTAAGAATCCAAAGAGATAAAATATATGTCATTATTTTTAGAACAGAGATTTTGTTTGGTCCTCCCTCCTACCCTCGAAAAATGTTTCAGCCAACGCTGGTTCATCTTTCACATTTCCTTCTTCCCTCCTCGCCTTTCGAAGCTTGGCTTAGTATTTTTAATTAGCTGGTGTTTGGAAGATAAAAAACTGTAATGAATTGTTGATAGATTGGAAACTGCAGAGTCGGTTCGCTGGAAATGTATCAGGGAGAAAACAGAAGAGGGAGGAAGGGAGGGAGGGAGGGGGATGGGCGGGTTAGTAGCAACCAACCACCTAAAAGGAGCGATTTTGTTACAGTTCAAGCTTTTCACATCACGTGAGGATCAAGGGCTCAATTGGTTGTCGTGAGAACAAAAAATGGGTGACAACCGTATCAAGAAAATACTGATCTGGTCTTTAAAAAAAAGGGGGGGGGTCTATTTCCTCTCTTCCTTCATCCTCCTTTTCCCCCTCCCTATCTTCTGGGGCTGGCGCAGCTACAAGTTATGCATCTGAAACATTGCTCCCGAGAAGTGGCTGCTCCTGAGGTAAGAAGTGAAATGAGCTCCCCAGGTTTGCAAGCTGTCTGTTGCAGAGAGAGGAGGGCGATCGGCCCCTTCCTCACCCTTTCCTTGAATTCAGTGCCATCAGGAATTCGTCAGAGACCCGCCATGAGGAGGATGGCTTCGTGGAGGGGTTTTTAAATGTCTCTTTCTTTCCAGCACAACAAAACATTCCGTGGCATTCAAATTAGTATTTTCTTTATTGGATCATGGCAGTTCTGTGGTAACATTTTTTTTTTCCTATGGGCGGGGGAGGGGAACTGGAGCAGCTTTTTAAATGGGGATAGAAAAATATTCACTGCACCCACAACACACGGGCATCCTTCTCCAGCCCCTCTTTTAACAGCAGATTGTTTATTTGCATGTGAGAGAAGATAAATCTTCCCCCTTCCAAAGGATCTTAAATTCGATTTTCTTTATCAAGCTCTTTGATTGTTTTAGGGCTGGTCTCGAAGCAAGGGACGAGGCGATACGCAGGCTGATCTTTAAGTCTCGTTCTTTTTATTTCCCCCACTTGGTCAGTTAAACCCCAAAAGGTAATACGCTTTAGCGCGCTCCCTCCCCCTGCTCTTCCCCTCAAGTGCACTTTCAGGATGATTTGTGTGAGAAATTGCAATGCTTTCACCCTCTCCTACGTACCCTTGGTGTATTTTAGTTTTAAACCCACCTACACCGATTTCTTTGCAATGCACACATTTCTTAACGCTCGCTCCCCTTTTCATATGAAAGAGAGACAGATAAGAGAGATAAGATAGGTCTAGATACCCCCTCTAAGTGCTATCGATACACCACGCAGTCGTACTTACTGTATCGAATCGAGTTGACCTTTTCCTTCTACAAGTGCAATGAGTGTGTTTTGTTGCAGCCGATTTTTTTTTATTTTTGGAAAAAAAAATTAATTTCCTCGACAAGATTAAGGGGGGGCTTTTTGAAGAAAAGAGCACCAGATTTCGTGAATCATTAAAGGCTTTTCTAAACTGAAATTAAAAAAAAACTTGAAAACATAGAGTCTTTCATTCTCTCACATGAACTCGCTCGCTTACACGTACAGCATAAATCAGCTGCCTTTACTGCACTACTGAACAGCAGAAATCAGAACTGGAGAGAAGCGAGAGTGTGAAGCAAGCCCAGACTCCCGTACCTGAAAGGGATTTTTCTTTGTTCCCAATACCCTTTCCCTTCTGTCCAATCAGGGGCCTGCTTTTATGAAACTGAGCCTGTTCATTGGATGGTGGCTCCTCTTAGCTGCCGGAGGGTGTGAGAAATGCGCGTACACCCACATTACACACACAGTCTTGTATTTTGCAATCCTCAGCCTATAGGAGTCCTCCATTAGGCAGTCTCTTGCTACAGCAAGATACAAATATGTTTCCTATTTCAATTATGGCATTAGCCTATACGTTTTATTTAAATTAAAGGATCAGGTAAGGAGGGGGGTAGGACTGCACCATATATCCCGGAGACGGAATATGGGAGACTCCCTCTTTTATACAGTTTCAGCGTGTAAGATTTGCGTGTGTATGCAAAGCCACAATTAATGGCTTCCTTGTGTGCCTTTTCCAAGAACCAGTTGAAAAATCTTGCCGTTTCTTCAAGTGCTTCTCCTCCCCCCCCCCCCGAATATCTGTACCATTTGACTCTGTACGAAGGTCTTTCCTGATGCTGATGTGTGTTTTCTAGAGCTGAAGGGGGGGGGGGGGAGAGACATTTTTCCCAAAGGAAAACCGTCCTTTTCCCCTTCCCCCATCCTCTCTGCTTTGCAGGGGTATTCAGTCGACATGCTGCGCAATCACCTTTCTCACCCTTCTTCGTTTTTCCACACTTTATTTTCTGCTCATTTTTACAATATGACTTAAGTAGAGCATTTCGATTTTTATTATGGAGAGGAGTAACCCTTTTGTTTCCAGTCTGCTGATTTACTGCTGCAAGCAGGGAACTGGAATAGCAAGAAACCACTTACCAACCGCGTGAACACATGAGTGAGAATGCAATTATTTTCTGGTCCCCCCCCCTTCTCCCAGTTAACCTTTTCTAGTGAAACACTTCATCAAGAATTATATTTTGTTGTAGATGTACACCCAAGAATGTACTAAAGCTGTGGTATATTCTGATGTCAGAAAATTGCAAAGTCTGCATTGGCGGAACCTAACTCAGCAGCCCTTCCCCCACTCTTTCCGTACAAAGTATGTTATTTTGTTCCAGACAGCCTATTTTACATAACTAAAACATGAAATAATCAAAACGTCCAATTATTGGAAGATAATGCTCTCAGAGGTCATGCTTAATAAACCATTAACTATGTGCATGATAGTTAATAGCAGCCATTGTTTAGGTGGACATATGTGTTTTATAGCTTCTTTAAAACCTTTTGGTTTTGCTGTTATCTTTCATCTGTGGCAATCAAGAATGCATTTTTAAAGAAATACTTGAACAGATAATGAGCAATTTTCTCCAAATGTTAAAAGTATAAAATTTGAAGTGGGGGGTTTCAAATTACAACAGTTTGCAACCAATTGTGTGGTTTGATATTTTGATACCTAAAAGGTATGTAGTGCCCAGTTTGATATTTAGTGCTAAATCTCTGGATGAATAAACATTATGAGCCTCCTTAAAACAATATAATTGCCTGGCAGGAATTGCATTTGATCAAACTTAGAGTTGAGCCGCTTTGTGTTCTTACCACCACTGTTGAGGTCAAAAAGACAAGTGTAGCCAATGTACACAATGCCCAGTTATTCTTGCTCACATCTTAATATTTGCTAATTGCCCTAAAATTCTTCTGCAAAAAACATCCATAATTGAGTTTCTTTTTAATAAGTTAACAATGGTTGGAATACGGTAGTTCTGCACTGTCACTAAAATTTGGTACAGTAGTGAATGCAGCCAACAAATGTATGGAGGGAAGGGTATTTGTTACAAACACCGATCATCTGATAGAGTCACATATGTCACTAAATTATAAAGTGATTTGTTGGATTTGGCTTAACATAATTTATAATCCAGTCATTTAGTTTATATGTTTTTATTTTTTATAAAGTTTATTTTTTATTTATATTTATGGCACAGAATTGTTTGTGATCCCAGCCTTTGTGGCTTATCAACAAAATTTAACAAAATCATTAATGCAATGTGTGAGCTGCATTATAGTCTAATAACAGTAATGCAAGACTACATATTTATGTAGAAATAAGTTCTGCTTTGTTCAGTTGTGTACTTTACAGCTATGTTGATGTAGACCATATGAAACGCAGAATAGGCATGTGAATTGACCCTAACTCATGCCAACAATTCACTGTTAAGTTGTAAAAAAGCTCACAATTTCAAATGCATATCTTAAAATTATAATTCCCAAATTGCCTACTAAAAGTAAGAACTTGCATCAGTAGATTCAGTTGTAAAATTTTAACCCTCCACCAAAGCAAACTGGATACTTGTTTGGGAAATCTCATGATTCAGTACTTAGGTAAGTGCAGCAAGAAGGGCTCTGTTAATTTTGGTCCTGCAACATAATCTGTTCTTGCAAAGAGAAATATAAATCATCCTGTTCCTCTACGATGCCCCCAATACAAATGATATTTGGTATAGAAGATGTTTTTGCATAGCAGATTCTTGAAGCTGAGAAAAAGTGGTATAATCTTCTTATTCAGAAAATTACAAAAAAGTTATGGAAATTAATGTCAGAAAACTATCCCTTTTACTTGGAGAAAGGATTAAGTGATTGAGTGACACTTTATATGGGATATACTGTAGTAAAGGGAATTTAGGAGAAATAATTGTTAATGCTGAGGCTAGTGCTATTTCAGGAAGAGCTGAGATAGCCATTTCTATACCTATTGAAATGTCAGTAGTGTATTAAGCATCTCATTTCATAAATACAGCAAATTCAGCTCCCTCCTTCTCTCCCTGTGTGTGTGTGTGTGTGTGTAAACAGAGTAAATAGATGAATGACTTGAACTTCATTACAGGACCTTTTGTTAGCAGTAAACTGGGAGGGGAAAACAGAGTCCATTTTAAAGTGGTTGAATTGAGAGGTATTCAACAGTTTGAGAAATACTTATTAATAACTACAGCATTGCTAAAAATGGAAGATTTCTTGGAAGTGAGAAGTCTAGAAAATAAGTCTGTTTATAGCAGCGTAGTTGCAATGTAAATAAAACTTTTTGTTCCAATTCTTCAGTTGTATTCTCACACAGAGTATCTCAGAATATACAGCAATATGCTAACAATAGGAAATCTTGGGAAGTGAGCTTTTGAAACAAGGTAAAATTTATTGGTTAAAGAAATGAAGATTGCTATAAAAATGTTCAACAATAATAATAAAACTCTGACTTTATAGACTGCTTTGAAATGTTTTTGTTGTGCTGTTCTTTTCACCTAATCTTGAAAGCCAGTGTTTTTGCCAGTGTGTTAAATAAGGCTTCAAAGTACTTTTTTAAATGGAACTGTGAACAATTAAGTCTTAATAAGATTGCAGTCTGACAACCCTATGTATATGTACTCTAAAATATAGTGTATTCTGAAACTAGTATAAGATTTAATTATATAGAAATCGGATTATAAAACAAAAATATGACTCATATGATCGAGGTATTTAAAATATGATAGAAAAAGGAAAAGTATGAACATTAATAAATGTATATTATGCTAATCTAGTCAGCATATGATATTTGGATTTTGTTTTACAAAATGTTGCTAAAAGAATACTTGGACTAAGTATTGGATAATAATACCAATACTGGATAGAAAGAATTATGTCAGTGATCAACATTCATAAATGAACCTCTAAAAATATTTTTCTTCCTTTGCTTCTATTTTTCCCATGATGTTTTTTCAATGAAACTGCAAATATTCCATCTTATTTTTACTCACTACTTTTCACATTACTATTTATAAGAAAGCAACATTGAAATGATTAGGGTTTTTGGGGAGGGGAAATTAAATAAAATAGTATTTACACAGGTCACTGTTGGATTTTTCTTTTTTTT